AAACCTCTGCTTCAGAGGGCCAAGGGGATGCCAATTATCAAACCAAAGAAAAGTGTTCCTCCCATTACCCACTTTGTAACCAATATGTCTAATGAGCTCACTTCTAAGGCCTAAGATTTTCCTTCAAACCCAAGAAGGGTCACTTGGTGTTTTAACACTCCAGAAGCTTTTATTCTTGAGTAAGTACGACTTAACCCATTGACACCACATGGAATGCTCACCTCCGGTCAAAAGATACCAAACGTGTTTAGATACAGCAGCTTTGCTCCATATCCCAAGCTCTTTAAACCTAAGGCCACCTTCATTTCTAGGAATACGTAAGTGAACCCAAGCCACCTCAGCCCCAGACTTCTTAAGCTCAGGCCCTGACCAAAAGAAAGCTCTAAGGAGGGCCATAATTGAGCGCCTAAGGTAAGAAACCAATCCTTCAGTTCTACAATTCGGGTACTTAACACATCTATTCAAAAGAATTATGTGAATTGAGGCAAGAATTAAGCTTAATGTAGTAGAAGAGAAGAGTATACATACATGCATGTGCATTACATTGCATTTAGAGCATGTTAACTAAGAATTTGTCCCATGCATGTTCATATTTTGGTTTTGGTTTAAGAATTTACCATGTTTTCTAGTAGAACACCTCATTTGATTATGAGTTGGAGACTTGGAATCTCATACATATCACACATGACATGTTCATGTTATGTTTTCAACATTCCAAGCTTGATTTTGTACAATTGTCAAAGCTTTTGGGCTTAAGTTTGCGAATTGGCTTTTGACTCATGATATATTACGAATTTGTAAGTGTTTTCTAGAGTTTTGACCCAAAAGGCGGTGTTTTCAAGGTTTAAAATCGAGTTTTGAACTTGTATCAGCAATATGGAAATTCCAGAATTTGCACCCTCTACTCGAGTGGTGGAGTTTACGCTCGAGCAGAGAATACGAGCTCCCAGTACTTTTGTAGAGTTTAGGGGGCGGTGGCTCAAGCGGTAAAACCTGCACTTAAGCGACCACCCTTATTTTTGACCTTTCGCTTGAGCGACCGAAGTTGCGATCAAGCGAAAAAAGAGAGCTCCTAAAAGTTTTATAGACTTTTGCCGACTGCTCAAGTGTAAGAAGTTGCGCTCGAACGGAGACTCTGTGTACCCAATCTTGCGTTTGAGCGACAACCGAGCATCCGTCGAGTGGAAAAATCATGTAACTAGTACTTTTGCAAACTTTGCAGACTGCTCGAACGACAAAAGTTGCGCTTAAGCAGACTGCCCTATTTTTGAAAATTTGGCTAAGAGTTCCACAACACATTTTGGCATCCTCATTGCATTCTAAGCATTCCTAAGCCCCAATTAAGACATAGTAATGGGGATAAAGATTAGCAACACACCTAGACAAGAAAGACATAAATTAAATGAATTTCAAGCGTGTGTTTCCAATATGTATCCGTTCTGTGTTTATATAGGTCCTGCGCCGTAGGCTATCTGGTTATCTACTCTCCTTATTTGCTTTATCTGCTCTATCTGTCTGCTATTGGAGCCAACTATGAGTAATAACTCTATAAAGCTGTTTTCAGCTATTTGCATTTGTGAATGATATGATACTCTGTTTTCTGAACTATTATTTTCGGTATGAATAAATGGTTGTCCAATATTTCTGAAATGTATTCGTGGCATCCTTAGCTTCAGATGATATCTGTTATATGTTTTGTTATATCCCAATTATGGGCCAACTGTACGTCTCATGAGCCAACTGTTATGGATCCTTTTGTATACATCTCATATATGGGCCAACTGAACGTCTCATGAGCCAACTGTACCATCTCGATGCATGCGAGTCAATTATATGCCTTCATGGTTGTCTTTTTATGGGTCAACTATTTCTATTAGTGATAATGGATGTACCATGTACGATTAATTGTAAATTCTGATTATGAATATGATTCTGATTCCATTTCTGTTATGAGTAATGATTTCTGAACAAGAATATGAATCCACTTTTGATATAAACTGAATTCTATTTTCTGTATTTGTTATGGACAACATTTATTAAACCCTTTTCCTTGTTATTATTTATTGGGCTCCAGCTCACTATAGTATTTATTTATGTAGGTGATTAGGCACATGACCAGGCTTAACGATGATTGCCTGGACTTCTGTTTTGTTAGCCAACCGTTGTGCCTCTTGAGGAGGCACCAGAAAAAGTAATGTGGTCGAGTTTTGTGAACTAAGTTGAAGACCTTGTTTTCTTTTATTAAAATTTGAACCAGTATTCGTTTATCTGTATATTAGGCTAAGTCCCATTTTGGTTTTATCTGTATATGTTGGTGATGTAAGACTAATGTAAATATGATGTCACATGTATGTATATAAAGTTTTAGATTTCTATTCCATGTATGTCTGCACAGCTCTATGGACATTGCATTTTGTATTGTTGCTTCCACAAGTCCTCTTAATTACATGTTATTCTGTATAGAGGCCTTTGGTAATCCAAGGATTACTGGCTGATTACGACGCTAAACCTATGGGGGCGGGTTTGGGTCGTGACAAGGACACTCTTTGAAAAGATGTTTGCCTTTTGGCTCTTTCTTTACATTATCTCTTGTCTTTTAACTATTATTATTATTTTTTTGATAGATGTAATCAAACACATGATGTAATCATTAGAATAGTTCAATGGGGAAGAGATAGTTATGAAATTTTATTAATGTTATTACGGACTTATTCTCTCCCTCTCTCTCTCTCTCTCTTCTATATTGGTTACACCCACATGAGCATATTTGATTGGGGCAACTTAATTTTCGAGGCGTTACAACATGCATGGGCATTCACCCTATCATTTGGCTAAGATTCATATACTGTGTTAGAGCATCTCTACAAGGCTTTGGCTCACCCTATATAGAAATTTTTTTTTCAAGTGTTGATGATATGTCTTCACCAATGACGTATCTTGGGAGGACTTGGAGCCATGGGCTTCATTTTTGTTTATTGATGTAATTATTTTTGTTTAAGTCTCGGGCTTTACTTGTGTTTAGTTAAATTCATTTTGTTTTAGCCAAGTATTGACTTGGAATGTTGTAGCCTTTAGGGCATATAATTATTTGGTTTTATTTTTACTTTAGTTTATGTATCCATGGCATATGCTTTAGATTCAAAATCTAGAATTTTTGAATGTATATTGCATATGTTATCTTTTGTATTGATCAAAGTTATGAATGTAACATAAGATATGATGGTGTTGATCATTTGTAAGAAATTTATGTGTTGGATTATTGTTATTTATTTCAGGGCGTTGCAATAACCATTGAAATTAAAAAATAGTAATTACATCATTGCATGTTTTGAAATAAAAAAATTTAAAGAAATAATACTAATATATTATTGACAATAATTAAGAGGACTTAAAAATTAAGCAATAATATTTATATAATATTATACATGGAAGTGTAGATATAAATATATATTTCATACCATAACCATTGAAATTAAAAATAGTAATTACACCATTGCATTTTTGAAATCACAAAATTTTAAAAAATAATAGTAATATATTATTGGCAATCACTAAGAGGATTTCAACATTAACCAATAATATTTTTACATAATAACATAGATAGACGTGTAGATATAAATATAGATTTCATAACATAACCGTTGAAAGTAAAAATATTAATTACATCATTGCATGTTTGAAATCACAAAATTTAAGGAAATGATATTAATATATTATTGACAACAATTAAGAGAATTAAAAAATTAACCAATAATATTTTTATATAATACTATAGATAGAAGCATAGATATGGATATGGATTTCATACCATAACCATTGAAATTAAAAATGGTAATTACATCAATACATGTTTTGAAAGCTCAAAATTTAAGGAAATAATACTAGTATATTATTGACAATAATTAAGAGGATTTAAAAATTAACCAATAATATTTATATAATATTATACATGGAAGTGTAGATATAAATATATATTTCATACCATAACCATTGAAATTAAAAATGGTAATTACATCAATACATGTTTTGAAATCACAAAATTTAAGGAAATAATACTAGTATATTATTGACAATAATTAAGAGGATTTAAAAATTAACCAATAATATTTATATAATATTATACATGGAAGTGTAGATATAAATATATATTTCATACCATAACCATTGAAATTAAAAATGGTAATTACATCAATACATGTTTTGAAAGCTCAAAATTTAAGGAAATAATACTAGTATATTATTGACAATAATTAAGAGGATTTAAAAATTAACCAATAATATTTATATAATATTATACATGGAAGTGTAGATATAAATATATATTTCATACCATAACCATTGAAATTAAAAATGGTAATTACATCAATACATGTTTTGAAAGCTCAAAATTTAAGGAAATAATACTAGTATATTATTGACAATAATTAAGAGGATTTAAAAATTAACCAATTATATTTTTATATAATAGTATAGATATAGATATATATTTTATACCATATTTTATACCGTAAGCATTGAAATTAAAAATAGTAATTACATCGTTGCATTTTTGTAATCACAAAATTTAAGAAAATAATACTAACATATTATTGGCAATGATTACAAGAATTTAAAAATCAATCAATAATATTTTTACATAATAGCATAGATAGAAGTATAGATATAAATATAAATTTCATACCATAACCATTGAAACTAAAAATAGTAATTACATCATTAGATGTTTTGAAATCATAAAATTTAAGGAAATGATATTAATATATTATTGACAATAATTGAGACAATTTAAAATTTAACCAATAAAATTTTTATATAATAGTATAGATAGAAGTATAGATATAGATGTGGATTCCATACCATAATCATTGAAATTAAAAGTAGTAGTTACATCATTGTATGTTTTGAAATCACAAAATTTATGGAAATAATACTAATATATTATTTACAACAATTAAGAGGATTTAAAAATTAACCAATAATATTTTTAGATAATACTATAGATAGAAGTATAAACATAGACGCATCTCTTCTCAAACACGAACTCAACATACCTCCACAATTCATATGGCCCGACCATGAAAAACCCAGCCTCCATGAGCCACCATCACTCTTCGTTCCACCTATTGACTTGGGAGCCTTCATCTCCGGTGACCCCCTATCCGTCTCAACAGCTATTCAACTTGTCGATGAGGCTTGCAAGAAACATGGCTTCTTCTTAGTCATAAACCATGGAGTTAGCAAAGAGCTTATCAGTGAAGCTCAGAAGAACATGGACTTGTTTTTTGATATGCCATTGAAAGAGAAACAGAGAGCTCAAAGAAAAGTTGGGGAATATCATGGGTATGCTAGTAGCTTTACTGGTAGGTACTCTTCCAGGCTTCCATGGAAAGAAACTCTTTCTTTTAGATATTGCGATGACGGTGGATCATCAAACGTGGTTGGAGAGTACTTGGTTGGCACAATGGGTGAAGATTTTAGACAATTTGGGTATGAAAACCTTAGTTTGTTCTATTTGGTTATGTTTTTGTTTTCTTTTTTTTCATTTTTTTGTGTTTTAGAAAACAAAACAATGAAAAATTTAGAAATACTAATCAGTTTGATATTATTTTTCAACCATGCTATATAAACTCATAAAAAATATCTCAAAAAATATATTTATGAATAATAATCATTTTCCTTGTGGTCCGCATCCCATCAACTTTAAATCTACGCTATATAATTATTTCGAGGTAGATTTTAAAATAACTTTTCATGCTTCATGGTATCTTTGATTATTTATATTTTTATAATTTTTTTGATTTTTTTTCAAAAGTAAGTATTCATAAAATTTTCTCGAAAAGCTTTCAAATATATATATATACATATTTATTAGAAGAAGAAAAAAAAAAGAAAAGGAACCATAGTCTATGTAATTTGTGTTTTGCGTTAATTTGATTACTATAGTTTTATTTTTGAAAATTTCACATTATGTCAATTTACCCTAATTCATAACATTCCTTTAGAAGTTAAACTGAAAGCAAGTGTGACATATCTTAGAGTAATTGAGGGGTTAACATCTGATTTGAAATTATTTATTCCTTTTTTAATGAATCATATTTTTCTTTATTTTTTTTTCTAATTTCCCAAAATAGAAAGTAAAAATTTGAAGAGCAAAATTAATACAATTGAATTTATTGAGGTCAAATTGATACAAGAATGAAATTACAAAATCAAAACATAATTTATTAAAAAAGAATACTATTAATGGATAACAAGAGAGGTACTATATTTCTTATAATTTTACCATTTTAAATTATTTTAAGTAGCTGCGTTAATTTCATTACTAAAGATGATTTTGTTTGAATTTAAGAAGCCCACTTGAAAACATTAGATTTTTAAAGTGAGTCTTCAAATTTTTTTAATGAAAACCAGTTTGAAATATATATATATATATATATATTTTAATTGATGTAAAACGAAGAGTACAGCAAAGGTACTTGGTCAAAAATATAATGTAACAATTCGTTAAATAATTTTTTAGTTATTATTATTATTATTATTTTTGTGTTTTCTCAAAAATAAAAACACAAAATGAAACAACCCAAAATATAAAAATAAAAATACCCTTAATTATTTAGAACCATGTCTATCTCTATCTCAATTTATTATTTTGCTAAACTTGCTTTTTTGTTTTTGTTTTTGTTGCTTTTTGTGTTTTCTTAGAAGGATATACCAAGATTATTGTGAAGCAATGAACACTCTGTCACTTAGGATCATGGAACTATTGGGGATGAGCCTAGGAGTGGGCCCAACCTATTTAAGAGAATTCTTTGAAGGAAATGAGTCAATAATGAGACTAAACAACTACCCCCCTTGTCTTAGAGCTCATGATACTCTTGGAACTGGTCCCCATCGTGATCCAAACTCGCTCACTATCCTTCATCAAGACAATGTTGGTGGGCTTCAAGTGTTTGTTGATCAACAATGGCACTCCATTCTTCCCAATTCACAAGCTTTTGTTGTCAACGTTGGAGACACATTCATGGTAAGTACATAAACAAATGTTGAATAAGGAAAAGGTTATGAGTAGAAAAATAGTCTAAAAAGTAACCAAAAAGGGGCTAAGTTTCCTCTTGTTCTAAATTTAGGATGACAATTTTCTCGTTCTTAATGAGAAAGCAAAGCAGGGACGAAGTTTTCTCTCCCGTCTTGCCTATTGTCATCCTTGTTTCTCTCATTCAAAACATTTATAGTCATTGGATCATGTAAGGGTTCAAAAATCTCGAAACATATCTAATAGTTATAGATGTTTTGGGATGGGGGACACCAATATTTAGAAACAAATGATCTAGTCTTCAAAAATTGTAGTAATAAACGAACACACAAATATGCAAAATTTAGATACAGAGTTATGTGACACCATTAAAATGACATTTAATTATATGACATCTAATTATTTGGTAATTTTTTTATATATAAAAAATTATTTTTGAATAGAATTTGTATTCATAATACAATCTATACAGAATGATGTGACGATAATATTTTTGTAAATCTAGCTACAATGATTGGTGTTTTCTCTTCAAATGAAAGGATTGCAAAATGTCCTAATATTCTGTATGATTTTGTTTTTCTTACAAATTGTATTTTATAATATCGCTACAAGAAAAAAAAAAACATATTTGGCAACCAAGGTATTTTTTCATCGCCAAAGATGACTTTAGCGACCATTTTTCTGACTTTTTAACGTTGCTGAATGATTGACATGGTTATGGATTCTTTGTCATCTAATCCCTTTGTCTTTATGTGTCAATGTACTTTCCTTAACTATTGAATCATATGAGAATCTCGGAATATAATTCAATAATTGAGGATGTATTGAGAGACGAACATTAAAATTTAGGGATAGAAGACCTTGTGTCCAATGTTAGTGATGGTTTCAAAGAGCGGAGGATAAACTTGAATTTAGAAATAGTGGACCATGTGTTCAATCATGCGAAAAACTCAAAATATATGAGAATCTTATTAAACCTTTTCTAATGAAGTTTATTAGCATAAGCTTGAATTTTAATGCATAAAAGTTTGAAAATGTTTCAGGCTCTATCAAATGGAATTTACAAGAGTTGCTTGCATAGAGCAGTGGTAAACAAACAAGTTCCAAGGAAGTCTCTGACCTTCTTTTTGTCTCCAAACATGGACAAAGTGGTGAGTCCACCTAATGGATTGGTCAATAGTCATAATCCAAGGATATATCCAGACTTCACTTGGCCAACTCTTCTTGAATTCACTCAGAAGCATTACAGAGTTGACATAGATACCATTGATGTCTTCTCAAATTGGCTTCAATGCAAAACCAACTGAAGAGAGTCCAAGAAAAGTACTAGAATCTTCACATTTTTTTATTTTTATTTTTATTTTTTACAGTGGTGATATGTGTTTGGAAAAAATACTCAGCTTTAAATTTAGTGTGGTGTGAATTTAAATAAAAATGAATTTAATATATGCATTTTATATTTTTTCCTAAATATATATATATATATATATTCTGAAAGTCCTTAGTTTGGCAATCTTCAAACAATCTATTTGGCTTAAAAGGAGTTAAAAATATAAAAAGTATGTTTGCTTTGGCTAAATAATAAGTGATTTCTTCTTAAATAAATACCTTTTTTTAAATTGTAATTAGTTGTCTGATTTATAGAAGCCTTAGAATATTTGTAAGAAAAACTTTAACTATACTCTTCAATTTTACTAGTTAAACTATAAAAAAGATAATTTTTTTATTTTGTCTAATTTCTTTTGTCATTTATGTACTCCAACGCTACTATTTATTTCAACCTATCTATACACACAAATTGTTTAAAGAGCCTTCTAAGGCTCTTCAAATGCCGCTAACTTTGATGAATTTTGTTAAAATCATTATTGTAATAGCTAGCCTGTTGAAATGACTAAAATATGATAATGCTAACTTTAATAGCTAACATGCCTCATTTAAAGAGTCCGTTGGAGATGCTATACATAATCTCATACTAATTGACAACAATAAAACAAAAATTATGAATAAAATGCATCCAAGTTTGGCATATTTACTTTTTTCAGATGATTTGAATCAAACTTAAACTATATATAATCAAGTCGAGTCGAGTTAAGTTGTAACACCCCAAAAATAATCAAGAATAGATAATTCCACAAAGTAAGCAAAAAACTAATAATGTTTCGTTCTTTCATTAACTCTCTTGAAAATATTACAAAAGATGTCACATACAATTATACATTTATAAATCCTAGATTGTGAATCCATAGCATGTGACTTATATCAATGCAGGGAAATGAAAAGAAATACACATAGGCTCATGCCTTAGTGGCTACATATTTCCAAGTTGATGCTTGGTTACAATTAAAATGGGTCAAGCCCAAAACAAATAAAAAGCTTGAGGCTTGTACAACAGATATTTACAACAAATGAAAAGCAAAATGAGTCGTCAGCTCCACTATCCTCCCAAGTTAAAGCCCATGGCGGAGGCATACCATCAGCACCTGAAAGTTGATTCCACATACGGTGAGCTAAAGCCTAGTAGAGAATACTTGAAAACATTGTATGATGCTTGAGATAGTCATATGATGAATGCATATGCATGCCATTTACCAAATCGTCAAACTTTCTCTTTCAAAACAATGCGATGTCATGATTATAAATCAGCTCATAAAACAATACTTTTTAGAATAGAAAATAGGGCAATGGATACACAACACCGGGAATCTCTAGGTACGTGTCTGCTAGTTGGCTATACAAGAACTGCCAAATCCATTTTACCGGTACTAACATGGAGAATTGGCACCTAACCACACAAGTTTTTGTACATTCATTAAGGACACACATGCCAACATAGATAATACCACAACCACACCCCTTAACTATATTCACCAAGGTATTCACCCTTTTTTCTCAAAGAGATACAATTTCATTGCAAGACTATGGAATAATGTTCACTGCAAGTATTAGGTTTTAATTAACCTAATCCTCATGCAATTTCTACAACAATCAAAGTTATGCTTCACCGATAACCCAAAATAGATATCTCTACACAAAAGATAAATCCCCAACAATAGTTACACTTTCATAATCTCACTATGGGAATGTTAATACATATGCAACTCCACTCTCATCTTTAATAGATACATCCATTTTATCTTCTAAAAAACTCAACATCTTTTCCTTTCTTCTTAAGGTCAAAACCAATGTTTTCTAGCAAATCATCCATTCCTTTCAAAAACACATTTAAAGGAGAAATTCCCAATATTTCAACAAAACTCAACAATATAAAACGATTCTGGTTTAGACTCGACCCGTTTATTGTTTTGGATCCGGGATTCCTTATGTTGTTTGGTTGTTCATATCTTGATTCATCTTATTCTAGATTAGTTTTCTTGTTTGGATGTCTTTATTGCGTTTGGAATAGGTTGGGAGTTTGTTTTTCAATAGAACTATTGCCCAGATTTTGGTTAGTTCGCGCGAGTGGTGCTTTGGTCGCTCAACCAATCTTTGAGAACTTCTAGTATATTTCCAAGTCTGCAAATATATTGGAAGGGTGTTTTTTTTTCACTCGAGCTATGTTTCTTGCACTTAAGCGGTCTTGGCTTGGGTGGTCCTTCTTGCACTCGAGTAGTCTTTGGGAACTCTCACTACTTTTGCAGGCATGTAAAAGTACTGGGATGATGGTGTTCTTCGCTCGATTGGTCATTTTATTCGCTCGAGCGGTCTCACTTGTTGTGTCTAGTCGCTCTAGCGGTGTTTTGGTCGCTTGAGCGGTCTATGTGTATATCAGTTCATAAAAGTCACTTTTTGAGTCATTTTCTCATCTCTCTCTCTCTCTCTCTCTCTTTCTCTAAACATTCTAAAATCTCATATTTTTTTCTTCTCTGTCTAGAAACCATCTTTAAACCTCAAATACACTGTCATCCATTGATCTCTCAACCATTGTCCTTTCGAAAAAAGGGTAGCGCTTGCTTAGAGTTTCCTTTTGATCAAAGCAAAATTGGTTTTCGGCTTCGTCGAGGCTTCTCCATTCTCTCTCTCGCCTTCTAGTTTTGAGGAAGGGATTTCTCCACACTTTTGTATGTTTTTAAACATGGTTATTTGATTTTCTAAATAATATTGTGATTTGGGAATATTTGGATAAACCTGGGGTTTTGGTTTTGAAATCAAAAGAGGGTCAAAATAGTTTTTGGAAAATGATTGTGGGTTTGTAAATGTGGTTGAGTTATGATAAAAGGGTGAATTTTCATACTTGGAATTGGTTCATGAAGAAAAGGGGATTTTGCCCTAAAATGTGAATACTTGATTTGGTAAAGAGGAAATGGAAATGATGTTGGAATTTATGAAATTCGAATGCTGATGATGATGATGATGATGATGGTGGAGTTGGATATGCATTATCACTCCCATCTTGAATTTTTGAAAGTTTATGTTTATTAGAAATTATCTATATGTTTAGAGATATTTGCTTTGGGTTATCGGGGGAGAATAGCTATGAGTGTTGTAGAAATCCCATGAGAATTAAGAGAATTAAAACTACTTTCTTATCCATTTGCATTGAGCATTGTTGTATACTTAACGCATCAAAAATGTTTATCGTTTTGAAAAAAATGGGTGAATACCTTGGTGAATCTAGGCAGTGAGTGTGGTTATGGTATTATTGTTGTCCAGTGTATTGTTGGTGAAAGTCCAGAAACCCACGTGGTTAGGTTCTGAGCCTTCCGATTAGTGCCAGTAAAAATGGCAATTGATAGTGCTTGTATAGTCTACTTGCAAACACATACCTAGAGATTCCAGTGTTGTATCCGCTACCCTGTCTTCTGTTGTAAAAGAAATGTTTTCATGAATTGTGAAATAAACCTGGCATTGCACTATTTTTTAAAGAGACATAAAATGTTTTGGCACGAGCATTGCATATGCATTCACTTTATAACTTTGTTAAGATTCATACACTGTGTTAGAGTATCTCTACTGGGCTTTGGCTCATACTATGTGGAAGACCATTCTCAGGTGCTGATGATATGCCTCCGCCAAGGCTGTAGCTTGGGAAGACTTGGAGCCGAGAGCTTATTGTTTGGTTTTTGTTCTATTTATTTTGTACAAGCCTAGGGCTCTATTTGTATAAACTCACTTTTGGTGTAACCAAGCATCGTCTTAGAAAGTTATAGCCATTAGGACATTTATAAATATGTTTAACTTTTATTTCATACTAGTAACTCATGCACATGCTATAAATTTAGGGTTATGGCATATGAATGTATAATTGCATGTGTTGCCTTTTGTACAATGGGATCACATGAATTGAAGGATATTACATTTAGAAGGGTGTTGTTATTTAATTAATATCATAAGACGAATTATAGTTATTATATGCGGGGCATTACAACTTGGTATTAGAGCTACCAGGTTTGAATACTTTGGGATCGTGGGATGTGGTATTTACCACAATGGGTTACCTCGCTAGTTTGTGTTAGAAGTAAACCTGGTATGCTATGTGATAACATAGTTATGTGATTAAATGGGCATGAGATTTAATTTTTGAGATATTGATTGGGTCTACGAGTTTCTAAAAGTTTTGTTAGAAGAGCACTTGATCACTGTAATTTCTAACTGGAACTTTGGTAATGTCGCAAGACGATCATTATCTAGAAAGTTTGTATATGTTTACATGACTATGTGCTTATGTGGAGTGAATTAATTGTTGTCCGTTAGAAGTAAACTTGGTATGCTATGTGATAACATAGTTATGCGATTAAATGGGCATGAGATTTAATTTCTGAGATATTGATTGGGTCTACGAGTTTCTAAAAGTTTTGTTAGAAGAGCACTTGATCACTGTAATTTCTAACTGGAACTTTGGTAATGTCGCAAGACGATCATTATCTAGAAAGTTTGTATTAGTTTACATGACTATGTGCTTATGTGGAGTGAATTAATTGTTGTCCATCGCATTCGGACGTGAGTGAGTTAGCTTCGTCACATTTGTAAATGTGCTAATCTCTTGTGTTACCTTCATTGGGATGTTAGGACGTGGACATGGCGGGGGTAGGCGTAGCAGGCCTAGATGACAGGAGGTGCTATTACCGGATAATATTCCGGCACAGGAGGATGGGGTTGGTTAGGCCAATGTGGCCAAACTAGTTGGTCTGCAAGCCATGGGCACTTTGGCCCGTGAAATGGCCAGAGCCTTGCGGGAATCCATGGATATTCTCAGAGCTTAAAATCAAGTCCAGGCCTACGTTGCTAAGACAGGCCCATCTTTTCTGAAGAGGGAGTTCTTCTGGTCTAATTTGGATGAGTTTTTGGAGGATTTGAAGGAACCACTGAA